TATGGACACTGCAGCTGGAGGGAGCCAGCGTGGCATGGATGCTGTGTCACCGTCCCCAGTGTTTGCTTTGGAGCCTGTGCTTGTTGGAGCACGGGGAGCTCAGTGGCTGCTTTAGGGAGGGGTGTAAACATGCCAAGTCAGTGGTGCAGGGTCACTTACACCCATGGGGGGATGTGGCCCTGGTGTTGGGACATGTCTGCTTGGGGCAGGAGAACCACCAAGCTCCCTGGCTGGCTGCATGGGGAGGGATGCTGACACAGCCAGGGACCCTTCTTCCTCAGGTGCATGGAGCAGAGATGGCTTTTTAATCACAGAAGCCCACCTTGGTGTAGCCCCATGCCCCACACTCAGGGGAAAGGAGGTCTCTATGTAGTCCCGTCTCCTGCATGCAGGCAGAGGCTGCTGGATAGGGACAACGACAGGTTTTTTTTGGAGGCATCCTTCATATACCCACCTTGCTTGCTTGGTCCCATACCCAGGTGAGAGCGAAGCAGGACTGAGAGGAGGTGTTGCTTTGGAACTAGTAATTCGTGCAGGGGGGCTTACAGGGGGCTCACAGGGCTGGGCAGGGTGCTGGGCAGCCCTGGGCTGGAAAGAGGAGGAGGAGGAGGGTTACAGCCCTGGGCTCACAGCACTTCAGCACAGTTCCTTTTCCCCCAGGACGCTGTTAGTGGCTCCATCCCCCACCGTGGCCAATTTGCTTTGCAGAGCCTGGGTGTTTCCACTGCCATTAATATTCCTGGTGGGTTTATAGGGCACTTTCAGGGGTCACTGGGGGACACATCTTGCTGGTCACGCTTCCAGGAGCGGTTTGCTCCATGGGATTTGTGTCCTAGGGGGTTGTTTTGTGTGCTTGAGTCTGGGATTTGGAGCTGAGGAGCAGGAGGCTGAAGGCAGGTCCTGGGCTGGGGTGTGGGGCTTACTGGGATTGCTCTGGGGAAAGGAGCTGGGAAGTGCTCAGGTATTTGCTGTACAAGGCAGAGTAGCTTTTTCCAATTGCAATTAAAAGCAGCGGTTCCCCAGCTCAGCGTGGGGGTTTGCTGGCTTGTGAGCAGAGCTCTTGTCTGAGCAGCATGGACTGAGGCGTTTGTAGCCTCATTGTATCTGGTTGCTGGGCCAGCAAATGAAGCACTGCTGATTAGCTCTAGGTGTATCCCAGCTGGCAGCCCCATATCCCACCCATCAGCCCCATATCCCATCCCTGCACCCTCTCAGCTCCCACATCCCTCTCACCTGCCCAGCAGACGGCCCTGGGGGAGGTTAGGAAGGTGTTGGTGGTCACAAGCCACATCCAAGCCAGAGCCTATTGCTACAGACCAACAAGTCACACCGGTGTGCTGCAACCCCAAAACTGGGGGCTGGGACTTCCCTGCTTTGGACACAGTTCCCTAAAAAAACCCCACACAGTAACTGCAGGGGGAGGAAAAAAAAAAAAGGAAGCAATTAGCTGAATTGGGGATTTAATAACAGGCTTGATTAGAGCAGATAACACCACACCCAGAGGGCATTTTTAAGCCTCAGTTGGCCCAATGTCATTTTGGGAAATATTAAAGGGGGGGGATGTAGACAAAGTGGAGCTGGGCTGACAGACGGAGAGGCTCGACGAGGGCTGGCATCCTTGGGGATGGCAGAGCACTGGTGGGGAGGTGGGAGAGGGGAGGTGGGAGGCCTGGGGATGAGCAGTGGGAGCTGGGCATCAGCCGAGGTGGAATTTTCCAGAAAGCCTGGGACAGGCTGTGGGATCGCATCTGGGAGCAGGGCTGCGCCTGTGCAGCCCTACAGAGCCTCATTAATGGCTTTTCACTAGATGGCACCAGACACCAGCGCTAATGAGGGTGCGCTGGGCTGGGGGCACCCCCTTTTCCTGGGCACCCCGAGGCGGTGGACCCAGCCCAGGGCAACGGGAGCATCCGCAGCCATGAACTGGGGATGGGTGGACGGAGCTTGGCATCAGGCTGAAACTGTTGCACTGCTCAGTAGGGGACAAGGGAAGCTTTGCAGGGCACAAGGTGTCTCTTGGGTGCTTTGTGCACCAGCCTTAGCAGGGTGCACAAAGCACCTGAGGGACAGCTTGACCATGGCCAAGCCCCAAGGCAGGGGACTGGGGGTTGCTGGTCTCCCTCCTTGCCATCCCCAGGAAAAACAAAGCGGAGAGCCCTGGCCTGGCTGGGAAATTGCAGTATCAGCAGGCAGCATCCTCGGCATTGCACAGCTCAGGCCCTGCTGCCTCAGGAGGGGGCTCACAAAGTGCTTTTCATGGAAGAGAGTATGAACAGTGTGGGGTGGGGGTGGCTCTGCAGGACCCTGGGGTAATGGGTGCTGCACACGTGACGGAATGCGACACGGGGACTGCAGGCTGTCCTGTGCACAGAAATGCCACGGTGTGGGTTATTCTGCCGGTTTGCAATACAAACAAATTTTAGACTTTTCCCCTAGCAACTTGCTATGGATAGAGCACTGTCAAAAGTCCTTTCTTACACCCACAGCTGAATCCAAGCCTTGCTCCTTGGTATTTTCTCCTCTCTTGGAGGTGCAGCCCCAAGCACTACCTTGGCTGGATCCTGGCACCAGCTGGGAGCACAGCACTATCCTCTTCAGCCCCAGCAGCAGCTGAAAGCCAAAGGATTGCTTAAAAATTAATCCAATGCTTGTATTTCCTCATTAAAAGTGCTAATTTGTTGGTGCATGGCCCAGAAAGTCTATTTACGTTGGCTAAATATTCTCCCGGTTATTTAATAAAAGACTTTACAAAGAGCTAAATGCAGCTACAGAATCATTAGGGAAACTGGACAATAATTAACAGATACCGAGAAAGTTCAGATCCAGTTAACATGGCACACTAAGACATGAGAAGGGAATTCTGAGCAGGAAAAGGCACAGTGAGATGCCCACCGTGCCCTGGATGGAAAGTGAGAGGTCCAGGGGCTTGGGGCAGAGCAATGGCGGGGGCTCGGTGGCTGCATGGAGCACATCGAGGCAATGCCGGAGCTTTCGCTGCTCCTTGCCCTGCCAGGTTGTGAAATCGGGGCTGCCCCAGCCTGCCCTTTGCAGGAGCATAGGATGTTTGGCTGCAGCGTGCCTTCCCCTCCCAGGGCATTCCCAGTGCCTGTTTCCAGCACAGCCCGGGTTCCTGTCAGCCCCAGAAAACCCAAGGAAAGGCTCCAGCAACCTGTTGCACAAGGCAAGGGGGACATTGACCCATTGGTGGGAAATGGAGTAATTTCCCATTGCCCAAGAGCACCTAAAGAAAACAGCTTTGCCCAGAGTGGGGGTACAAACTCTTTGTGAGGGAGAAGATGGCGGCCTGAAGGCTTGTGAGATCTTTGCCCGCTGAGCAAGGACTACATCTCCTTACCCCTACAGCCATCAAGAGTTAGGGCTTGCTCACACCAGGGATGTTTGCCTGATGACAGGGCTATATGGAGCTAAAGCACCTACCCAGGTGAGACCAGTCTCTTCCAGCACCAACCTACTTCCCACACAGCAGCGGCCACACAGAGAAGATGCTGGGGTTCAGGTGACCCCCACAGAGTTTGGGAAAGACTCACCCTTGGCTAAGCCAAAGCTGCTTTCCCCACACTAGCTTATGCCACCAGTGGTGCAGGAGCCAGGAAGGTTTGGGGCTGAGGCAGGTTTCCTCTGGGAAAACCTCGAAGGCTTATCCCTGGGAAGGCACAGGCAGTCCCATGCGTATCTGGATCAGATATGGTTTCCAGTTCCATATGGAACTCACATAATGGCCCCTCAGAAGGGAACACAGCATGGTTACCACAATGGTTTCTCCTGGAGAAGCGTACTTGGCCCAGGAGAAAGCTCCACCACCTCCAGCCTGCTTGGGGGGGGCCATGCCCTGGACCATCTCCCCTTGGCTTGTCCCTCAGCCCCAGGTGTGGCTGCAGGGGACAGTTGTGCAATGCAACACGTGCTTTTTGAGCAATTGAACTATCCTGTTTGTATCTTGTGCAAAAGGCTTCCAGAAAACACAACGCAATGGCAGAGGAAAAAGGTACAAACATGAGCGTGTGCGCAGCCCCATTCCCCACCCCCATCCAACCCAAGGGTTTAAAATGGCAGCGTCCCCCAGCTCTCCACACTCGCACCTCTCGGGGTCACGGCAGCATGAAGACGGTGGCCGCTCTCCTCCTGGTGGGGATGCTCATCCTCTGGACAGAGCTGCCGACAGGTACGAGATGCCCCAGGATAAGGTACAGGGAGGAACAGCACAGGGGCTGGGAAGGAGCCGTGTTTGCAGGGGGGGATGGGGGGGGGGGGGAGGGATGTGGCAGCCTGCTGCAAACAACTCCCTCCTCTTGCAGGCAGCGCCTGGTCCTGCCCACATGTACACATCACCTGTGCAATGCTCAACCCACCAAATAAGTGCTTCACCGACCGGGATTGTCCGCGGTACAAGAAGTGCTGCCCGACCTTCTGCGGGAGGAAATGTATTTCGCACCCATCTTCCCCCCGACTCTCCTACGGTAGG